ATGACCAAAGCAATATCCGGTTTGCGGATGAAGACGGAGAAGGAGAGATGCGCAACAATGGTGAAGACACCAAAGATGGCCATGCGCCGTACCATGACGCGTCCCAGTATATTTTCCGTCTTCCTCATGGCACCCGCCTCGAGCTATCAGAGGCAGTCTTCCAACTCTCGATGATGTTCTGGACGTACCAATGCCAAGATGGAGTAATGGACTCATCTGCAATAGTACATTTCACAGCTGTTATGGGTATTCATCGTTCTTCATTGGCATACCGCGATGCATATAGTTTCACACCGGACCTTGCGGCTCTTATTTGGGTAGGACGGCTGTTATTTCTCGAGTATAGCCTCCCGCGATATAGTTACGACACGCTGGTGTATCCCTGGCCTGCCCGACACACATATTCATCACAACCGGAGCGTCTAGAGGCAATCCGAAAGAAGTACATGCTTAGGGGCTGCTACTCACCGCTAAGCGAGCTAATTGAACTCAAGGCCTTTGGGAAGAGCATTGTGCGACGGGAAGGGGTTCGTGGAACTCTGACCTGGGCTCCAGACGGCCGCTCTTTCACCATTGGTGACGGCAAGGTAGTGCGCCTATCGGAGTTCTGTGCAACCTATCGAGCTGCGATCACCCGAGTAGAAGAGCTCGTCACCGAGATGATGTTAGGGTGGGATCCTACAGTTGATCTCTCCGCAATCCGCGACGACCTAACCTGTCGGTTTCCAGGGTGGTGTTTCCTCGACAAACCGGAGAATCACCTGTCAGGCACGTATAAAGCAATGTCACGCCGTGCATGGTCATCCTCATTCCGCGGCAAAGCCCTGGCCAAGGCGGGACATTGGTTGCCTGATTCTTGTCTGGCCTACCTGCAGACGGGCGCCGAGCTGTCCACAAAGGCCTTTTCTGCGGTTCATATTACGGCAGGTCTGCCAGGTCGAGGCACGGAGATGACGACTATCCGCTTGCGAAACACAAAGTTAGCCATTAGGAACTTGTTTATCCGCGAGGGACGAGCTATTATTGTTATCAGTTATACCAAGGCCCGTTCCTCAAATAACCACGCTTTCTATATTGTTCGCTACCTGCCAGATGATCTGGGTTTGTCTGTTGTGGTTTACCTCGCATATATCCGACCATTTCTTGACTTTCTAGCAAATCAGCTTGGGCTACCGCATTATCACAGCAACGAGTTTCTCTTTTTAGACCCAAAGCACAAGGAAAGGCATCTATCCACTACGCAGGCAACAGAGTCGCTTCGGGACTTAACGCGGACTCTTCAGACGCCGTGGACAATATCACTATATCGCCAGGCATCAATTGCTATTGCCAAGCGCCATATAAGCGAGCTAATCAAGGAAAGAAACTTCTACTATCCAAGCGATGCTAATACTTCGATCAGAATGATCGCCGCCGGCGTTGGCCATCGCCCGAGGATGCTTCTCACGGCCTACGCCATCGACACGGCCTTACCAACTCGACTTCAGCCTGAACTTCTTGAAATGTACCGCCAACTATCGACACTCTGGCAAAACTGGAATTCGCAATATTACGATCAGTATTGTGCAGCAAAATGCAGCGGGGTGACGGAAAACGCAGCAGGCCAGCCGGCGGATCGAAAACAGAGCCTGGAGAATAATACCCAGTCCAACATCCGTGGCCAAAAGAAGAGAGGATTTAGGGATTTGAGTAGCGAGGCTTGTCGAAAGAAGAGCAAAGTAGTCAGCACAAGTGCGACTGGACATGAAGATAACTTGACAACACAAGCCAGCGTGGAAGAATTTCCAAAGGGGTTCATTTACAACAGAGAATACCAAATCCTCATTTGCGTGGCTTGCGAGTCTGTTGTTAGTCCGGGAAAACGGTCATTCTACCATCATTTAAATCGTCACCGCATCTTAGGGCCAGTTTGTAAGGCCTATATGGAGCGGTTTAGCACTCTTCAGCTCACGCCACTAAAGGAGCTTCCTAGGCCGCAGCTGATAGTTCCGGCTATCTCTCACCTTCGAGTTTATAGAGCATTTCGATGCAATATTTGCCGTTACCTAACAACTCGATGGGCCCTAAGCCTTGATCACATGCCAAGACATAAGCTTGGTGTCTCTCCAATGCAAGCCTGGAAGATGGGGAAGATATGCAAATGCTATGTACAAACATTTTCGTCTGCAAAGGGGCGAATAGCATACTTTGAAGTAATACTACCGTTGCAGGCTAAAATCGAAAGCTCTAAATAGTATGGATCTTGACAAACTCGTGTACAACATGATGGGCGAGCAGCTGCGCGGAACGATTGAGTTGCTGTCGACGTACGACCTGCGGGGAGCGGAGGAATTGCGCCAGCAGCGACCTCATAGAAGAAGGCCATGCGAAATAATCGACGGGTTGACGGAGTACGGTGGCTTCATCTGCATGTGCGACGTCGAGAGGTGCGACTTTGTAACGACACGGCTAGAATTGATGCACGATCATATGCCCAGGCACGGGAGAACAGCATCACAGAACAGGGAAGGCAGCCCCTTGTGGGAGGCGTGCCGCCTGCAGACGTATCTCACTGCGAAGGGTCGGATCGACTACTTCACCGTTAAAGGCTCATCAGACAGCGGACGAGACAGTAATAACGACAACACTCCGCCATTAGGAAGGGGTATAGCGCAACCACCCCTGTACACGGGACCGCCACCGTCAGCTGCGGAAGAGACACTCTTTGACGGTTTAAGGGGTGACCTACGGGAAGCAGCGCGCGATCTGGAAGATAAAGCGGCAGTCGTTGAGGATGCCGGGCGCGATCGAGCAGATCGGCAGCCGTGGCTGGTCCACACGGGGTTTCCGACCCACCTTCGGGGCCTCTTAAACACGGAGATCTGGTCCTCCTTTAAGCTGCCTAAAAAGAAAAACATGTTATTCCAAAGCGGACGGACGAAGGTTGAAGAAAAGACTGACGACCACGGGATCGATGTTGCGGGCGACGACGGTGAGGACGAGGGAGAGGAAGAAGATCTGAGGCGCATCCTAACTGCAGCGGATGCCCTATTTGAGAGCGCGTACACGTTGGTATCAGACCGGTCACCGAATCGGAAGATGACGCAACAACGCGCCCAAATCTTGAGCGACTTCGCGTGGGGTGCTGGCAAGAAGGGCAAGGATACGGCCTTCCGTCGCTTCAAGAACCCATCATCGCTTGCAGAATATTTCAGGACAATGAAGCAGCTGCTAGTATACTACTATAGGGTGGTATACTGCGAGGACGGGCATTTTAGCCGGCCCCAAGAGGTGGGCCGAGAGGAGGATGATAATGATGACGAGGAGGCTGATGAAGATGGGCATGCGCATGCAACTGAGGCGGTGATATTTCCACAAGACGTTATCGAGCCGACAGGTGAGCAGCAGGAGGCCATGACGGAGATGTTTAGAGCGCTGCGGGAAGAAGACCACCAAGGAACAAGAGGAGGGTTAGGGGAGGAGAGGCGAAGGAAAGACGGCAATAGTAACGACGGCAAGAATCATTATTATGATCACCATGACTCGAGATTGGCCTGCGCAATCCGCCGGTTTTATATCGGGCTAATTTGTCACGAGGTCGGGAGCGTGCCTTTCCGGTCGCCAGTGATTAGTTTTTGCGCCATGCTAAGCCGGGGGACACACAAGGACAAGAGCTATTACGAGAGGGAGAGGAGGAGAAAGAGGGAGACCAAGAGCAGGCGCAGCGTTAAGAACGGCAAGTCAGATGGTGAGGCCAAACCACCACCTGGGCAGGAGCAGTTTGGCGTCTGGGCCAAGCCGGGAAACTACACCAGTAACTTATCAAAACTGGTGTGGGTGGCGCAACTCCTGATTTTCGAAACTGCATGCTTCTACAAGAGACATCAAGAGGAAGACATTCCGGCGACTCTGGAAAAGATATGCAGGGACTTCATGCACCAGAAGAGGGAAACGGCGTTCGGCTATATCTTGCAGTGGCGGCTGTACCTCAGAACGGTGGCACAAGCGGCCATCACCAGTGACCAGGCGCGGTGGTCACTAGATGGCCAGGAGATTGACTTTCGGGGCATTAAGCTTCGTATGGAGCATGTACCGCAGCTCGTCGTATCAGAGTACAGGAGGGCCCGTAGCCTTCTGTACGATAAGCTTATGTTCGGGGCGAAGGACGTCCCATCGATCGAGGCATGGATGTTACATGACGACCTGGATGCGGAGGACCACGGAGGGTCATGGTTGACGGACGAGAGAAATGCAGAGTACCTCCGAGGAACACAGGACGCCCTGCTCCGGCAGGTCGAGCAACGAGCAGACTTGCGACAAGCATTTGTGCGCGATGACCAAGGCAGGACTGGAGGGAAAACACTATGCAGCCAGGCCATGGCTGTTTATGAGTGCGAGGCACAAGAGTTTCTCAAATCAATGATCACGCTGTTGCATGTTCCGCCAGCACCTCCGTTGCGGGCGCCGGAGCTGCTGACCACGACGTATGCCAACGGCGGCGGACGGCGCCGCAGCATGCTCATCTGGGAGAAGATGCTCTTCATGTACGTGCGATATCACAAAAGCCAGGAACAGACAGAAGAGGAAAGAGACAATATCCGGTTCGTGCCGTCACGGATCGCGGACCTGCTGGTCACGTTCCTGGCGATCGTGCAGCCGCTGCGGCAGACATTTCTTCGCCAGGCCCGCCCTCGAGCCCTTCTGTCGACCTATCTATGGTCGACATTGGACGGCGACGTTTGGCGGGATGACCTTGTTTCGAAGTATCTCAGCCAGGCATGTCTGCGCGCCGAGGTGCCCGAGTTTAAGGTGGCCTGGTGGCGACAGGCAGCTGCGTCCATTACAAAGGAGAAATTCACACCCAAGGAGCAGGCCAACTTTAACATGGAGGATGTCACGGCATCGGAGGTAATCGATGAGGAGGAGCTCTTGGTGGACCTGGCCGTGGCGAGCAACCATGCGTTCAAGACCTTTAACCAAATGTATGCAGGCTCGTCCACGCTTGTTATGAACACGCCACTGCACCGCGCGCACCGAGCCTCGCGGAGCTGGCGGGAGCTTTTCCGGATCGACGAGCACTTGTCACGGGAGGAGGCCGCCGGTGATGGCGGCAAACGCATGCGCTCGGGTACGGACATGGACATGGTGCAAATGTGCAAGAGGACAAAGCTGCGCACAAGGCCCCTTGGGAAGGTGAGTGACCTAGAAGCGGTAGCACGCGCGCTCTACAACAACCCCAGTCTGCGCTTTCGGCGACCAGGACAGCGCAATGCCATGTTGGCGACGATGGGTCGTCACGCAGCGGAACAGGTCGTAGTCGTGCTAGCCACGGGTTCCGGCAAGACGCTGATTGCGATGGTCGGCGCGGCGCTGGACGGCGCTGGCACGACGATTGTGGTACTGCCCGCGGTGGCGCTCAGAGAAAACATGCTTGACCGGCTCGGGAAGGTTGGTATTAAGACTATCGTGTGGGAGCCGGGCCAGTTGAAGTCGGCACCTCTTGTGATAGTATCGGCCGAGGCAGCGTGCACAATAACCTTTCTTGACTACGCCCAACGCCTCCAGTCGAGGCAGCGGCTGGACCGGGTCATCATCGACGAGTGCCATCTCACCATCACCGCAGCATACCGAAAGAGCATGAAGAAGCTTGGGTCGTATGTGCGACAAATCGCAACGCAGACGGTCTGGATGACAGCAACGCTTCCGCCGAGCTTGGAGAGCGTCTTCATACAGCAGAACCGTCTGGTGCAGCCACGCATGGTGCGAGAGTCAACAAACCGAGCCAACATTCGGTACATCGTGCAGCGGTTCAAGGGCTTGGATGGGCTGTGCAGCAGGGCTGCCGAGCTGGTGCGCGTGCTAATAGGCAGGATAACGGACAGGGTTAGGGACGAAGACGGAGACGACGACATTGTTGGCAATAATAGTCACAAGACCAACAGTAACTTAGGGACGAAGACGGAGACGACGACATTGTGGGCAATAGTCACAAGACCAACAGTAACGGCAAGGTGACTGGCGGCAGGATGTCCAGGATCATTGTATACTGCCAGACGCTGGACCTCATGGAGGAGCTCGCAAAGGAGCTGGACTGTCCGATGTACACAGGAGACGAAGAGACCATGAGTGACGGAGAGAAGGACCTTGCCATTGAGAAGTGGCGGGGTTCATCTGGAAGCCCGGTGATCGTAGCAACTGCTGCACTTGGCGTCGGGTTCGACTATCCGGAGGTGCGGTGGGTGGTGCACGCCGGCGCGCCGCGGTCCATGACGGCGTTCTCGCAGGAGTCCGGCCGTGCAGGGCGGGACAACAAGCCTGCAGAGTCAATCACCCTGATAAGCGAGGCGTGGCAGCCGCGCAGGGCCGGCCAGGAGCCCAAAGACTTGGATGAAGAGATGATGCAGCTGTACCTGACACAACAGCACTGCTCACGGGCCGTGATGAGCCAGTTCCTGGACAAGAGATCGGACTGGAGGTGGTGCATGGAAGGCGAAGATGAGCTGTGCGCGGTGTGCCCCAGGCCTCATGCAGAACGACGGCCGGCGAATCTCGAGCTGGGCTTACCATCGCCGAAAATACCACAGCCAGCCACCACGGATGAGGGCAGCGACGACGACAACGTTGAAGGCGAGGACAAATGGGAAATCGTGGCCGCAAGAGAGATGGTCTACACAGGTCCCGACGAGGTCCTTCGTCAGGCTAGGGTTCACAACGAGGTTCTAAGACGGTTTGAGGAAGACTTGGAGATAATGCGCGGATGTTGCCTGCTTTGTCGCGTGCGGGAAGGTAGACCGTTTGACCACAGCGCCACGAGTTGCGGCCATCGCTGGCCTTGGATCAAGGCAAAGAAAAAGGTCATACAGGCGTGTGAGAAGGAGGGCAAGCAGTGGATGGAGGATTTCACGGCATGCTTTATGTGTTATCTTCCGCAGACAATTTGCCGCAGAGCGGACCCAGAGGCCGAGCCTGGCGTGGATGGCGAGGAAGGGTTGAGGGAATGCCGGTTCCGAGACATGATCATGCCGCTATGCTACGGCGCTTTCTTCCAGGCCGGGTTGAGAGCGCTGATCAAGAAGCATTTTCCGCATCAAACGTTCCGCGATGTTGACGAATACATGCGGTGGTTAGGGAAGTCAGCAACTCTAGGCGATATAGAATGCGTCCAGGCAGTCTCTGTTGCGGCCAAGCTATTAGACGAGTTCCGATAAGCAGATAGCATTAGCATAAACGTATTTATCAGTTAGAAAGTCTCAAAGCGACTACAACGAGATCTCACCGCGTAGAGTGTTAGGGGTAATGCAGGGTTCTGTTTCTTAGTTTCATGCGATATACAATACCCTTGTCCTTATGTGCGCTAGATATAGATATTTAATTCTACATTAGCATTATTTATTTCTTCCATATTCCTTGCCAATTGTAGGCTAAGGACCAAGTAAACAAGACTAGTGTCTAGCGGTTAGCCTAGCTCTACTCAATTAGTGTCTACCGT